TGTGGACTCATTGAGTCCTGACCAATTCCTGGTTGCTTCTTTTTTAATTACATTTTTTTTTTTTTTGTGAGAGAGAGCTCTCATGTAGCCTTGAATTCACTATGTAGCTAAGGTGACCTTGAATCCCTGATATTCTCGATTCTACCTCTAAGTGCTGGGATGGCAGACATTTTCTACCACAGCCAGATATCCTTTCATTTTTTCATGGAGGTGAAATTCACATAACATGACACCAGCCATATTGAAGTGAGCAGCTGCCAGGGTCAGGGGAGATAAAATAAAACGAAAAGGACCCCAAAGGGCCTCCTACTTTCAGGGCTTCCATCTTGTCTCTGAATACTTCTTTTACTCCAAAAGGAAGCCAGACCCTGTGGGCCATGGCCCCCACTTCTGCCTTCTATAGGTAACCCATATTAATCATTCCCACCTAAAGGGACCCACACACAGCATCCAACTGTGGTGCCTGGCTTCTTCCCCTTAGCATGATGTTCCAGACTCAGCCAACTTCATTCCTTTTTAGGGTGGAACAGAGGTTCCACTCCGTAGACATAGAACAACTTGTTTATCCACTCACCCACCTGAAGACAGGAAGACACTAGACTTTTGGATCAAGCAGCATTTGATGCAGAGGGAACGTTCTCATTAATTTCCATCCGTGGCTGCTGAACTATCTTCATTCCTACCAGCAAGGTCCAAGAGGTTCATCTACCTTCATTATTAAACAAAGGATGACCATGACCTTGGACTTCTGCCCCATCCCCTCACCTCACCACAGGCTTCTCCTGTTGGCCTCTAGGCCCCAGAAGATGCTGATTAGGCAGGAGAAGTGTGTATTTCCCTCACTCATTAAAACATAAGGACCAGATAGTTACATCTAGAACCCCAAGCCAAGCTAGGTGCAATCCTGCAGGGGCGAGTTTGTGGCCCACCTGGGCCCCATCAGCTCTAAGTATGTTTTCTTTCTTCTTTTCTTTTGTTGTTTTTTGAGACAGGGTTTCTCTGTACAACAGTTCTGGCTACCTTGAACTCACTCTGTAGACCAGGTTGGCTTCAAACTCACAGACATCTGCTTGCCTCTGCCTTCAAAGCGCTGGAATTAAAGGCATGTGCTACCACCTAGCTCTTCTATGTTATTTTATTTATTTTTATTGGCAAGGTCTTATTGTATATTCTAGGCTGCCCTCAAACTAAATGCTTAGCTCAGGCTGACCTTAAACTCTTGGTTCATCTTCCCTAGACTCCTGAAAAGGTGATAATACGAATTTACACTACCTCATGTCCAGCTCAAGGCAACTGAGGGACAGAGTGAGGGCAGAGAGCTTGCATGTGTTTATGGACTACAGCCATAAGACATGGCCCTCCCCCACCCTGCAGTGCCATCTAGGCCCCAGGAAGTGCCCCCTAAGAGGGGCGAGGTGCTGGGAAGAGAGAACAACAGCATTGGGCAGCATGGACCTGGCACCCAGCAGGGTTTCAGGAGACCCATGCCTGTCTCAGTGTGGAGGGTTATTGTCTAGGGTGGCAGGAAAGGACAGGGATGCTCAAGGCAGCAGGAGACAAACAGGAGGGACTCATGAGAGCTGGGAAGGCCTCTTACACACTCCTTCTGTGGGCCGGGCCCTGCCAGGACTTGCCTCTGTGGGTACAAGCCCTAAGCTGGGAGAGCCAGGAGAAGGTCACCACCCAACGAGCTCTGCGAGTGTGTTCCTGGACCTGCAGTAGCCCCTCTTCTTGGGAACCTGCTAGAAATGCACATCCCCTCAAAATTATTGACTCTGAATCTTGGGGGACAGCATGACTCTTCCAACAAGCCCACCAAAGGGCTCTGCTTTTCCATTCAGTTTGCAGGGACCTCCTTTAATGAGGGAGATGCAGAATCTACCACAAGGCTATGGGACAAGGAAGCTGGAGCCCGGGACTCTCAGAACACTGCCCACTCCACTGTGGGGGTGGGGTGGGGGTGGAGTGATGGCTGAGGGTCTGTGAGGGGGCCTCAGAGAACCCCTTCCACTTTCCTCTCCATTCTTCGGAAAGCAGTTTGATGTGCTAACGAAGGCATCAATTATTGAGCACCATTTGCCTTCCTTACAATAACAAGTGAGGGGAGGGGGACCTGAGGGAGTCAGGAGTCTTTTGAAATTTACAGCCACTCCTGTGGAGTGGGAGCGAGGATGAAGATGGAGGAATGTGGCCAGGGAGGCAGGCACCCAGGGTTCAGGGTCCCAGATGCCATCCCGGCTGAGAGGCAGCGCCTCCTTTCCCCTCAGCCGCTTTTCCTCTTCTACCTCAATGCTTTCTGGATGGCTCTGTGGGGCTCATGAGATGTCCTGGTCAGACCAACAGAGGAGCATTCTTAGGGAACCTCAAGTGGGTGCTTCAAGGTGCAGGATGGGTAGTTCAGGTGGCCAGCCTTGATCTCTTCACTACCTGCTTTACTACGCTGGAGCCGCGTGCTCCTTTTTGCCCAGATGTTTGTCCAGGTGCCAAGCCTGCTGCTACAGTGTCTTAGGGAAGAGAAGGAGAGGGTGAGGACTCCCCACTCTAGGCTGCTCCCCAACCCTCCTTTCTGCGGCCCTCAGAGTGGGCCAGGGCCCTGGAGTATTTGGGAAGGACAGGAGGAGTGGCTGAGATCTGATTTCCCGATCCTCAAACATGCCAGCTGGGCTAAGGAGCACTGCCGGAGCCACAGGGGAGGAGGACCAGAGGGAAGTTAAGTTGAGGAATGAGAGGAGGCGGGGCAGCACCTGAGGCATCTCAGGTGGAGGCAGCTGGCAGGAGGGTTGTGCTGGGCACCATGCCAGCATATAGAAGCCGTTCTGCTTGCTTCTGCTGCATAAGGAACACCCTATGCAGGAACAGCCGCCTCCTAGCAGCAGAGCCGTCTTCAGAGGCCTCATGGGAGATGGCATCCCTGAAGGCTGATGGTCATGTTATTTGGGACCACATCGTTTCTGTTTAGACTCTCATTTCTTATCACGAGTCAACAGGGCCCCTGGGCTAGCTGTCCAAGTGTGTGTGTGTGTGTGTGTGTGTGTGTGTGTGTGTGTGTATATGGTCTTTGGAGAGTAGAGGGTGTGTGTATCAAATGAGTTCTTAGCTCTGAGATGATAAGAAATGTGAAGGATTTATCATTAAGATGTGACCTAGTGATAGAACATGTGTCCAGAATGTGTGGGCTCAGCTGAGCTGTGGTGGCACACGCCTTTAATCTCAGCACTCGGGAGGGAGAGAGAGGTGAATCTTTGTGAGCTCAAGGCTAGCCTGGCCTACAGAGCAATTTCAAGTTCCAGGACAGGTTCCAATGCTACTCAGAGAAACCCCGTCTTGAAAAACAAAAAACAAAAAACAAAAACAAAAAAAAAAAAACAAACAAACAAAAGAAAAGAAAAAGAAGAAGAAATGGTAAAGAGAAAACAAAACAAAACAACAACAACAAAAACAGAATGTACGGGCTGTGGTTCAATCCCAGCACTGAAAAAAAAACTTAAAAACAACAACAAAAGTGAGCTACATAAACTGTATCTGGTGTCCAACATCTGTGATCGCAGCACTAGGGAAACTGAGGCAGGAGGACTGTAGGTTGAAGATCAGCCTGAACTATAAAGCAAGATTGTTTCAAAAACAATTAGACAACAAAAACAAAGCAGAGCTACATTTATGAGAAACTACTTGAACCTGATGATTTTGTCTTGCCATGGAGGGCTTCCTCCAGAGCTGTCCTTGGAGCTGTCTATGATTCCTAGGTGCTGATTCCCCTACCTTTTCCCACCCAGTCTCGATCAGTGGCTTGTTGGAGAGACTACGAGTCAAGTATTAAATGCAGGAAAGAGTGCATAGAATAGGAGAGAATAGGAAAAATATCATTCCAATTGTCACCTTGGAGAGAATGCCCAGGTCCCCAGAGACTGAAAGAACCCCTGCCCTAACTTCCTGCTTCATGGGTCCCCTGCTGTCTGCTGTATGGGGATGAGTCATGGGGTGCCAGGTCTGGTCTCTGCTTCTGGTAGCCACAGGTAAGATGATAGTGGAAACAAAAGAAGCCAGGAGTCCTAGAGTCAGGCCAGCCTGGGCTTCAATTTTGCCTTGGGAGTTCTTGGATTGGGCAGTTGTCCATACTCTTTAGAATCTTCCTTCCTTTCTATTTCTTTTTGTTTCTTGAGCAAGGTCTCATCATGTATTTCTGGCTAGCCTAGAACTCACTTAGGAAGATTGGACTGGTCTAAAATTTGTGTTGATTCTTCTGCCTTTCCCTCCCAAATCTAGGATGACAAGTGTGTGCCTTTATTTCTGATATGTGGCAAATATGACAGGATTAAATTAGAGACTATGGGTAAAGTACTGGCTGATGCTCTTCTCCTTGGATGGGCATTGAACAGGGACAGGAAGACATTTTGCCCCTGGGGGTGGGTGTTCTGGTTTGGGAAGACCCCAAAGGCAGAGTGAGCAATGTGACATTTCGAAGGGAGGAGAGGTGTGTGCCAGGCTCAAGGCTTAATAGCTGTGGCCCCTCCCATACACAGGGCCGGGCTGCCTCCTGGAGCCCATCTTGGGAAGGCAGCCAGGCAGGGAGCTGGAAGGGTGCCCAGTGAGTGCCCAGAGGCCAAAAGATGGGCACCATCCAGTTGGCAGAGGGAAAAGCAGCTGGCCCAGGAGAGAAGTCGTGGTCTTAACTGCTGGGGTTGTATGCCCAGACCGTGTGTCCAGGACACAGCTCTTGGCTGTCCTCCTGAGGTGGCCAGCTGGAGCTGAGGCCCCTCCCGCTGCCTTGCCCAGCCACCTGAGTTAGTGGAACTGGAATTGATCTGTAAGGGGCATTTGGAACCTTGTCCTTAGCTGGGCATGTGGCTGGCTCAGAGGCAGGCCTGGGGGCGGGCTGAAAAGCGAGAGAGCCCAGATTAAGGCTGGGACTGGGTAGATCAAGAAGTAGGGGAACCGGTTTGTCATCTGGGCCACTTGGGGTGGGGTCTTCTCTCCTGGGCTCTGTCTGCCAGCCATTCTGCCCGGTGGACTGCAGGGAAGAGATGTGGGCACAGGTTGGCCTTTTTGTGACCACTCGAACTGCCTGTGGGAATGCCAGGGGTAAATAAAACGCACAGAGGGCTCATCCCACCTGCCCCTCTCGAAGAGAGGATTCTGAAAGGAGGAACTGACCACAAAACCCGAGGGAAGGAAGGAGGGAGAAGCCTCAGCACAAAAGGTCAACGTGAGTCTGGGCCCAAGCTGGTCATGGAAAAGTCTGCAGAATCACCAGGTAGGCTCAGTAAGGTGAACCAGGGTGGGGCGCGCCGACATGGCGCTTTAAAGGCTGCCGTGGAGGTGACAAAGGTGTCGCCAGAAGAGGCGCGAGAAGACTATCTGGAGCGTCTTACTTTGGGGTCCACTTAAGAGATGGGCAATGCCTCTTACTCGCGTGCAGTACCTGCTCGCGCCTGAGGTAGGGGCGGGAAACCGAAGTAGGGGCTAGGAGGCTGTCCAGCAGGGGGCGCCAGAGAGCTGGGTCCCTGGCCGAGTGGCGGCTCCGGAAGGGGGAGGGGTAGAGGTGAGGGGGCGCGACCCAGGAAAGGCACACTGGTATCTCGACTCTCCAGGTGTAGAGCGACTGTGGCGTTCAGAGGTCACCTTGGCTGAAGAGCGGTCCTCCTTCTCTGGTCCTCTCCCCTCCTCCTCCGCCGCGCCCGGAGTGTTTTTCTGTCCCGAGGGAGGCGTGTTAGGAGACCCAAGGAGTCACCTCCCCCGGTGCCTCTTTCGAGGCCACTCCGGGGTCAATGCATTTGTTTCTACCGGGGCTGGAGGACCGCTTAGGGTAGGGGAAGCAGGTGGAGTGGGGGGCGGAGCGTGAGTGCGCCCCGCACCCCAGTCCGGGCCGTGTGCTGCGGGATGCCGGCGTGCTGCTGGAGGGCGCGAGGAAGCGCAGTGCCCCTTCCCCTCCCCCGCTCCCCGCCACCCCCGGCGGCCCTTTGTACCATCCGGCCACACGCGCGTGCCCGCGCCGCGCGCGCTCCCGCCCGCAGTGACACACCCGCGCCGGCCGCACGCGCGCACTCGCGCGCACACACACACACACGCAGAGACACACACACTCGCTCTCGCACACTCGGTGACACGCCCGCGCGCGCGCGCACCCACACGCCCGGCCGCCGGCGCCCTCCCAAGCTGGTCCACCCCGGCCGGGCCCGCGCCCCCGGCCCGCCCGCCTGGCACCGCGCCCCGGGGCTGGGGCAGAGCGAGGAGCCCGCGAGGCGGCGAGAGGGCGAGCGCCAGGCAGGCCGGCCCGGGGCCCCCGCCCCCCGCGCCCCCGCCCGATGGGGAACGCTCCGTCCCAAGGCATGTCCCTGTCTCTCTCCTCCCTAATGTGCCTCCATGCTTAAGTGGAAGGTATTTCTGTTTTCTTTGTGTGTTTTCCCCTCGGCCGGGGGCGGGGGCGGCGGCCGGGCCCGGGAGGCGGCGGCGGCCGGCCGGGCTAGGGATGCTCCGGGCGCAGGTGTCGCGGGGGGCAGGGGACAGCTGCGCGCCGGGCTGGGGAGGACCAGGGCGAAAGAGCGCTGGGAGTCGAGAGGGTCTGGAGCTGGTGAAGCTGGAGACTGGGCGAGAAGGGCCTCTTGGTGCCCGGGGGGGGGGGAGGGGACCTGGGGTTACAATATAGGGGGGAGGGGTGGGTGAAGGGGGATGGCGAGGAGAGTGGGGGAGGGGTCCATGCGAAGTGAGACCAGGGATGTTAAGGGGGGGAAGGGAAGGGGATGGAGGGAAGAGCATCATCCCCGCCTCAGCTCTCAGAATGGGGTGCAGGCGATGGGCTTGACCCTTCGCGCCAGTCCCTCAGGGAAGCAAGGGACTGAGAGCGTTCTGGGTTTGGCTGTGTTGCCAGGATACAAGGCTGTATTCTGCACCCCACCCCCTGCACCTCGAGGCCCTAGCCCTGGAGACCTCCTAGCCTCCGCAGCAGTTTCAGAAACTGGGGACCTGCTCCCCGTTCGCCGGGAGGGTAGGGAGGGCCCTGGAGAGGGAGGGACTGAGGGAGGGGCTTCTGGATCTTAAACCCTCCCCCTGCAGAGGTAAGGGGCAAAGGAGGGCGCCCCCAGCTGGGGAGGGCGTCCGGGGTGATGAGGAGGTGGGGACTGCAGGGGGCTGGAAAAGTAGAGGGGCGGGGTTGGGGAGGGGACTCGTCGTGGCTCCCCCTCCTCACCCACGCACCCCCCTGCTACGTCAGAAGCTCCTGGGCCAGCTCCGAGTCCTGTCGGTGGGGGCAGCAGGATGCTGGTGGCAGTAGAGGGGGCCGACCGGGTGCCTCCGCAGCTCAGCTGGCAGGGCCCGGTGGGGCGTGTGTGGCTGCTGGTGCGCGCCCCCAGCCCCACGCCTCCCCATGCAGCCCTGGCAGTGCCTCCGGCGCTTTGCCCTAGCCTGGTGGGAGAGGACCGCGGAGGGTCGAGCCCGCTCTCCCAGGGAGGAGGTTGGACCAAGGGACCCTGGGGGACGAGGGGAGCCAGGTGAGCCGGATCAGCAGTGTGAGCAAGGAGGGCTGAACTGCCTTTTCCAGCCTCTCTCAAATATTTCGGGATCTGGGGCTCTTGTAGGCTCCAGCTTTGAGGGAAGTGTTGTCCCTGGTCGGGATTCTTCAGCTGCAGCCCCTCAGAAGGTGTCTGGGATAAAGATGGGAAGTGGAGAAACTGAGCAGATGTCAGGTCTGGGGACCCAAGTGTTCCTTTGGGTGGGGTTAGTGCCCCTTGGGATGGGATATTAAGATACCCTCCTCTGCCCTGGTCATCTTGGTCTGGGTGACCTTGAGCCAACTGCTTGGCTGTCTAACTCTGTGCCTCAGTTTCTCCCATTCCCTTCCCTGTGGCCGGTCTTAAAAACTGATGATGTATCTGATGGAGATAGTTACTGTAGAGACGAGAGGCTGTCATCTCTGGTGGCAGCTGGGATGGTGTTGGTTTCTAGCATGGCTGGTGTGTGTGTTTGTAAGTGGGGGGGGGTGGTTGTGGTATGTGGGCATGGGAGTCTGGTTGATTCTGGCCGGTGTGGGGGGTCACTCTGGGTAAGTGTCCAGGGTGATGCTCAGCCAGAAGGAGTGTTTTTTTTTTTTTTTTTTTTTTTTTTTTTTTTTGATAGGCTTAGAGTTGTAGTAGAGACTTAGCCTGCTGTAGAAGCAAGGGAGTGTGAGGGCTCTGGACATAGGGGAAGGGGCCTCCCTCCTAGGCTGCCTGGTACCCAGGCACCATTGGCTGCAAGTGCAAAGGCTTTGCCCTGGCTCCCTGCCACTCTGCCTTGGGGACAAGAGGGTCTTTGTCCAATACTGCCCCCCAGTCCTGCATCCTCCCTTCCTTTCCTGCAAGGCCAGCTCTCAGCACAGCCCTAGGATGGAGGCTCCATGGGTCTCCCTTCTGGCTCCTACTCTGGAGATCTGCCTAGAAGAAACAAATGTAGGCTCAGGCTGCCAGCGGGGAGAGGAGCCTCACTAAGGGTAGGGTCCCTAGAACAAACCCTCAGAGACATGCTCCTACCTCAGACTTTCCCTCTGCCTCTCTGTTCATCTCCCACTAGCACAGGAGGTCTGGGGGCTCCCTGGTTTTACTTATACAGCCACTTAAAGGTGAGTAGTGACCCACCAGAATGCGTGTCCCCTCCGAGAGTTCTCCCCTCCCTGTCCAGGGACCCACCCAAGAAAAGGGTTTAATTAGAACCATTGATTCCTTTTTGGCTGCGGGCATCGATCTTGATGGTGTGGTCAGAGCAGGGGATGGGGGAAGGGGTAGCACAGGCTCTGTCTGTCCAGTGCTAACCTTGGCATTCTCTGCCAAAACCCCAGCGCTGGAAGTCCTGAGCAGGGATAGGGCTGGGCTCTTTGGAGCTCCCCACCTGCACCCCAGATAGGTGTTGAGAGATGAAGAGCAACCCAGCTGAGGGCTGACACTGCTGGGCACTGTGCTCAGGTGAGAAGAAGGCTGGTTCACATGAATTTGACCTCGTTCGGTGAGCTGGGAGCACATCAAGAAGTGGTATGGTAGAGAGAAGGTCTGTGCTGTCATGGGGAGTCTGCAGGAATGCAGTGGCCCTCAAGTGCCCAGGCAGGTCAGGGTCCAGGGGAAAATCCCAGGCTGGCCATGAAAACATCTCTTTCGAGGAATTCTAAGTACTTATGTCTCAGCTCTGGCAAGGAGATTCATTTTCCTCCTTCATTTATATCTCTCCGGCCCAGATAGGGACAGGGCCTGCCTAGATGCTCAGCTGGACCAGATCTGGCCTGGCTTCCTGACCTCATGGCCCCTGCCTGGACCTAAAGTCCTGAGGTTGAGGCTTCTGGCATCCTTGGCTCAGGTCCCCGGAGTTGGGGGTTCTGGGGATAAGTTGTGCCCCCAGCCCGCGCCTGCTGTGGGTGGGCCAGAGCAGGTGCAGCTTCAATGAGGCACTCAGGGGCTCTTTGAAGACTCCATAGCTGGCTTCCTAGGGCCCATTTGAGCAGAGATAATAAAAATCTGGCCGTCAGCGGGTTTGAGGGCTGTACTCGCTTCCCCTTCTTTCATTCCCAGCGCTGAAAAGAGGAGATGAAGGCTTTGGATTTGGCTAGAAAGCAGCTCCTGCCCCGAGGGAGAGAGGCAGGAGGGAGGGAGGCAGGGAGGGAGGGAAGGAGGGAGAGAGGGAGGGACGACTTCTTGGCAGCCAGGATGGGCAGAGGCACAGTCCCCAACCCCAGGACTTAATACCTAGTACCTGGGCTCTAGTGTGGTCCTCCAGGCCCCTGGGACCCCACAACATCCCTCTCTGCCCTCTGTTCCCAAAGTCCCCTCTTGTCACCTCAGCCCCCCACTTCTCCGCTCTGCCAGTCTCCTACTTTACTCTCACCGCCGTCTCCCTGCCAGTGTCCCCTCTCCTCCAGAGGCCCCCTGGCTCTCTCTGGTAGCCCCTCCCCTCTGTCTGTCTGCTTTGCCCTAGCAGTGTTCCTGCTTTCTAGGATTGAGTGGAAGGTTGCTGCTGAGGGGCACAGTCGCTGAACAGCCATAGCTGCAGCCTCCCTCGGCAGGGATGGGCCAGCTGACTATTATGGGCTGTCAGGTGCTATCACTGTCAGAGTGCAGGCTGGAGCACATGCAAGGCTGTGTGTGTGTGTGTGTGTGTGTGTGTGTGTGTGTGTGTGTTGGCTCCTCCCATTCCACCCCAGGCACTTCACCTTGACATTGGGCCTCACACAGTTACCTTCTGGCATTCACCTCCACAATAGATTTTTTTTTTTTTTTTTTTTTTTTGCCCAGCCCT